TCTTGTTCTTCCCTCTTGAACATATTCTACTGGTCGATGACTGGTTGATGTCACTACCACTCAGCTCAGATTACCATAAGTTGTGATGCAAGTTGAAAACAGGACATCTGCTGCCTGCAGCTCTGCTCTTTCTCAGACCTATTGTAATCCTTTAGTATGTGTGAATGTTTTACATTTGTTTTTTATCTCAATGAAAAGAGGTATTGAGTTATTTCCTGGGATTTTATTGAATCTGTATATTGTTTTGAGTAAGTCTGAATGGAAATTTAAGCATATTTCTAGGACTTAATGCTTTTCACGAGATGTCTGCTCCTTTAGGTGAAATGTTGGTTTATATATTTGTTCTATTTCTGATTATTTTTACTGTTGAATTTTAATAGTGCTTTATCCTAGCTAATAATCTTTTGTCAGATAATTAAGGTGAGATGCTGGTGTAGCTACCTTCTATAAAGTTACCACAATTAGCAAATACTGAGTCACCCTTCCTAAGTGTAATGGTTCCCATGAGCCTCTCCTTACATTTCCTTCAACAGTTCAATACCTAACCTTGGGCCAGGCAGATAGCTGAGTCAGGAAAAGGCTTGCCTTGCAAGTATGAGGACCTGAGTTTGAAATCCAGAAATCACACTAAAAAGCCAAGTGTGGCAATGCTAACCCCAGCACTGGAGAGGTGGGAACCGGTTTCTAGGGATAAAGTGCAAGCCAGCTTAGCTTTATTCATGGGTTCCGGGCCAAGTGAGAAACCCTGTCTCAGAAATCATGTGAATGACATTTGAGGACTGATGCTCAAGTTTAACCTCTGCTCTGTACATACACACACAAGTACAGATGGAGACCCCTCTGCATATGAACGCCCTCCTCACACTTACACTATCTATCTAACCTTGCTTCATGTGTGTCTCTGTTGAGGGGTACCTAACATATTCCAAACATCTTCCCCCTTATTCATTCCTGATTGACTCTCTTACAGTCCATACACTTCCTCTTATTAGTATTACAGGGGATATGACTTTGGAGCACTGATCAGCCATGGAGCACCATTCTGGGATGGACAAATTTAATAGTAAAGAAATCAACCCAATGCAAATGTGTTTGCAGTTTCATTCCCTCAATCTCCATTGCAGTCCGAATGTCACGTGCTTCTATTGATTGCGGCCAAATTCGTGTCTGTGAATAAGCACAAAGGAGATGTAAGCTTCGAATCTGACGTTAGCTAAATGTTAACAAGTATGTGAGCCTCCAACAATGGAATTCATAAACAATGAATGCAATCTACATGAGATTTGTAAATGTTTTCTCCTTCACCGCGCTTCCATTGTGATCCTCAACTGCACCTGTCATGGAGGAAAGTGTTTCATTTTAATGAAATCGGATTGACCCCTGTTTGCTTTAATAGGCCACGCTTTGGATTAAGAGTCTAAGAAGTCTTCTTAGTTCTGTATTTAGGACATATTTAAAAGCTTTTCTATTCTTTATTAATGCATTATAGGCTTGGATTATTATTTTAATTGAAAATAGTTTCTTTTTCATACAATATATTCTTATTATAATTCCCCATCCTCTACTCCTCCCAATTTCTCCTTACCCTCCCTCCCCTCTGGATCCACTCCTTTTCTCTCATTAGAAAACAAACAGGCTTCTAAGAGAAAATAATAAAACATGATAGGATAAAACCTAACTAAACAAATCAGAATAGGACAAAACAAATAAACAGAAGGAAAAGAGCCCAAGAAAAGGCACAAGAAACAGATATAGATTTAGATTGCAGAGACCCACTAGTTTGCACATTCAGGAATCCCATCAAAACACAAAACCAGAACATTGAAAACCATAATAAATATGCAAAACCTGTAGAGTAATAAATCAATAAATTACAAATAAATTAATACTAACATTAAAAATAAAATTTAAGATAAAGCCCTGATATGACATCATGAGACAAGGAACCTCTGAAGATGCCACTGAGATGAATTCTTTTACTGTTGGCCAACTACTGTTGGGCATGCAGTCTACCATTAAGAGTAGTTTGCTTCCCTAGTGGGACTCTGTTGGATAAAACCAATTTTTCATTTGCAAGTGGTTAGCAAAATGGCTTCTGGGTTAGTGATGGGGCCATGTGTTCACTTCTCCTTTCCACTCTAGGACCCTATCTGGTGCAGACTCATCTTGCAGGCCCTGTACATGCTGCCTCAGTTTCTGTGATTTCCTTTGTGCAATGGTCCTGCATGTAGAGGTCCTTGTTTTCTTGGTATCCTCCATCTCCTCTTATTCTTACACTGTTTCTACCTCCTACTTCTTCTTCAGGCTTCTCTGAGTACTGAGGGAAGGGATTTGATGGCGACACTCCATTTAGGGCTGAGTGTTCCTAGGTCTCTTACTCTATGTATATTGTCCAGCTGTGGGTCTCTGTATTTGTTCCCATCTGCTGCATGAGGAACCTTCTCTGATGATGGCTGGCATGGATCTATGAGTAAAGCAGAATGTCACTAGGAGTCATTTTATTGTTATATTCTCTTTGTAGAACAGTAGTATTTAGTTTCCCTCTAGGTCCCTGGGCTATCTAATCTCAGGTTCTTGGTCACCCATACAGTATCAAGTATGAGTTTCATCTTATGGAGTGGGCCTTATAATAAATCACATATTGATTGGTTACTTCTGCAAGCTTTATGCCACCATTGCACTAGAGTGTCTTGCAGGTAGGACACCATTGTAGATAGAAGGGTTTGCATCGGGGTTGGTGTTTACATTTTTCCCTTTGGTACCAGTGCAGTGTACTTTCTAGTACTAAGAACATTAGCCAGTATGGGTGAACTCTCTAGGTAGGCACCACCTCCATGTTAAATGAGTTGTGTAGATTGTGTCTTACTGGGTCTCTATTTTTCAGTTAAGTGCAAGACCAGTTTGGGGACAGGGTTTTTTTTAATGTAAAGTGAGACATTAAATTCGAGGTTTGTTTGTTGGTGATTATTGTTTTCTATGGGTGCTCAGTTGCTTCAAGAAAACATGTTGAGAAGATGTTCTTTCCTGCACTGCACAGGCTCGCTCTCTCTCTCTCTCTCTCTCTCTCTCTCTCTCTCTCTCTCTCTCTCTCTCTCTCCGTGTGTGTGTGTGTGTGTGTGTGTAAAATAATGATGACATGAATTTATGAAGGAGCTGATTGGATCATATAGGGAGTTTGAGGGGTATAGGTGATACAAATACATTATCCATGCATGAAATTCTCAAAACAAACAAAATAAAACACCTACAAATGTTGCTGGTATATTTATGCCCTTGATACTGTGGGGGTGGAAGTGGAATTCTATGCTCCCTGTATGGTCTCCACTAAAACCAGAATCATTACCATCTGCTAAGGATGAAAGTGTGGATCCCAATGGAGATGGAAGTCTGCTCTCAGCTAAGGGTCAAGAAGGAGTTCTGTTACAACCTGGTAATTGTACCCTCTGCTCTGAGTGGTGGTGCTGCTGTTTTTATGTGTTACTGGCAGGAAGAATATAGCTGTTCTCCAAAAGGTTTCTGTTTTGCCATGTTCTTCCCTTTTTGTTTGGTGTGTGCCTCCGTGTGTGTGTGCATGTGTGTGTGTGTGTGTATTTTTGTTATGTGTATGTATGTATGTATATATACGTGTGTGTGTATTTGTATATATGTGTTTGCATGTGTGTGTGTGTGTCCAGTCACTAGTGTTTCTGGTTTGTTGGCCAAGACACCCACCTAATATTCTGTTTATGACACAGGAGGTAAAAGCAGAAGCCGGGAAAGTCACCACCATGTCTTTCCTTCACCCCGAGTGCCTGGCCTGTCTGTCTCCCCATCTTTGTCTCCTTGTGCTTACTTGTGCTGATAGTTTTTCTTGTGCTTGGGGAGAAGAACAGGGAAACAGATAGTGGCTGTTTTGTTTTTTTTCCCTTTATTTTATTTTGCTTTTCACCTCATTTAGTGTTCTTTTTTTTGATATTTTTCTCATTTTACAGATACAAAATAAGCTGACAAAACTATACAAAAGATTCAAAGTCATTCAGCTCACACATGTCAGAGAAAGTTCATAAATTACATGACAGAGTCAGATTTGGCCAGCTTGACACTGTCACCCAGACTCCAGTCATGTAGCCAGGGCCTGTGCTCTGAGGGCCACACATCCTATGTTCATCATGCACACATCAAAGTAAGACCCAAGACCTTCACCAGAAATATCCTGTCTTGTGAGTATTCATGGTCCCACTGACATAGTGGCACACAAGTCCCTAGCTAGGAACACAATGAGACACGGGGCACTGACCTGTTCATGGTCTATTTACTTACATCTCACCTTATCTTATTTACATTTCACTTCACCAAGGGTTTGGAATGTGTGGAAGAGAGGACAATTATGCCAGAAATGGTCCCCAAGTGCATACAAATGAAGAAGGCATTAATAGCAATCAGCAAAGGGGACACAGGGAGAGGTTACTAAGAGCATAGGAGCCTGTAGAGGAGTCCCAAATGTGGACACCATGGAAAAAATACAGTAAGACAAATACACAGGGGAAAGTGCTTAGCAATAGATTTAGAAATGGCAACCTAGCTTCTAGATGCCTTAAGGAAGTGTGAAGAAGAGGGGTATGTGCCGTATTTTACAAGACAGTAAGTCAGTTCAGATCTGGATTTTCAGACTTACACTGTGCTATCTTCCTGTGACAGTTGATTTTTCTAGACTAAAGAAGATATATGTCTTCAAAGGCTGTCACATGACCCATCTGTTCCTTTTCTGTATTGGCATCACCTCCAACCTTGCTCAGTCTCATGTAATCTCAAGTTATGTACCTTCCTGCTTCCCACCATGTCCTGTCTCTTACCCTTTAATTGCTCCAATCAATTTTTTTTTTTTTTTTTTGCTTACAGATGACTACGTTGTATCCAGGACCTTCAACCTTTCCTATGGCTTTCCATATTAAGTCTCGATCACTTTAGAATACACACTAAGAAGTCATATTGTCATGGCTTGGTCTCTGCTCTTTTCTTAGGTATTACCAGATCCGAGTGACTTTGAAAGTGTCCTCAAGGATCCCCCACAGGCTGAGTGCTTCCATCGTTGGGCAGTCAGGTGAGTAGAAAGCAGGACTCCTGCTTCATGAGTAATCCATCATGTGTTCCTGTGTTTCATGGTCTAGCAGAACATAGGGTAGTTCTTACTGTCAACAGTTGGACCAGTGAGTTCAGGAAAGGCAGACACAATATTGGAAGTGGCCCCTGTGCGAACATTGTTGTTAAGGAGGGTTGGCTGAATAAAAATCACTCTTAGGAGTGGCTGGTAGCTTGGGGAAACTGTCTGCAGTAGGTTGGTTGAAGTCACATCATGGATGAAATGGATGAGAAGCAGCATCCAGCCAATAGGTAAGGAGAAGACAGTTGTTATGGCTTCAGGGAACTGAGTAGGTGAGCAGTTTTACTGGTACTTTCTAGTCACAATAGAGAGTTAGAATACCATCACCCATTGTAAAAAGACTGTCAAGGAAAATCCAGGGCCTGATTTTGATGCTGGAGATCTAAGAGGAAATCCAAGGCTTTGAGGAGCCAGTCTGATAGGACTCAGTGACAGGAAATACGTGTGAGAGACTAAAGAGCAGAAGTACAGGATGGTTTGGGAACAAATATGGCAGAGCCACACAGTCTAGTGAGTCTTAAAAGAAATGATTCAGCCTTCAGGGCAGAAGAAGAGAAAGGAAGGGGATGAACAGGAAAACCACAATGCACCTGTTCTCTGTTAGAAGTAAGAGTGAGCCTGATCGTCAGAAACAAGATGTAGAAGAATGCTGGTTGGGCTGGAGAGATGGCTCAGCCATTAAAGGCTAGGCTCACAACCAAAAATATAAGAAGAATGCTGGTCCCAGCCACACTTTATAAAAACCATTTGGAATGGGCAAAAGCATCGTGGGGAGTCAAACATGGGCAGTTAGTTGAGACGCCTCAAGGGAGAAGTACAGATATAGAGTGAAGGCTTATGATTATTCCTCTAATTCTAGACCTAGAAAGAGAAAGACTCAGCTGGTCACCGGCCCCTTCTGCAAGTCTGAGCTAAGCAGGTGTTAGTTATCAGTTAAGTCACCATCTCCCTAAGATATTTCTCTTGTCCAACCCTCTCTGTTGGGAGTAAATAAGGCATCTGGGGTGAGGAAAGGAGGATTTATACTCTTCCACAATCTGTACTCCCCCAGGATAGACTCAGTGTAATTTCCCTCTTGCCCATCCTGTTCTAGGTTCCTTCCTCCCCTGCCTTAGTCCATGGTATCCACTGAAAAGCAGGATACTTGGGCTCTGCTTTAGATAAACTGACTGTACGGTCCTAAGTAAATGATCAGCACTTTCTCTTCACTTGAAATAGGTAGATAAAAATTCACCTCTTATGGTGTCTTTCTCTTTTTTGTGGAGATGATATATGACAAATATGTCTTATAGAGATGATAAATATGAATGTGCTGTGATGGGAACTGCCATAAAGTAAGGGTCCAAGAGTCTGCCCTGCGAGAGGTTGTAAGTCAACATGATGAGTCAAGGTCTCCTTCTTAGAGTCAAAGCAAAACTCTGGGGGAGAGGTGGCAGTGAGAGCAGGCTGATTGATGAGAGCCATCTGCAGGCCAGTGTGTACTTGGACTCTTTCCTCTCTAAGATTCTCAGCAGCATGAACTCACCTCTTGTCATTGCTACACCTTCTCAGGAGTAGGCAGTCCCAGCTGTGAGGTCCAGAGGCTGCTGGGCATGCAGGAGCTTTTGGGGTCCATAGAGAAAGAACTTATTGCAATGGTGCTGCAAAGACAGAGAAAAACAGCAAGAAATGCAACTTCATGTTAAAGCCATTTTCCTCTCTAGTCTAGTTTGACAGAGTAAGGATTGTGACGCAGTGATCATGCCCTTGAGTTTTGCACTCAAATTCTATTTAGAACAGAAAGCCAGCACATGCCAGCAGTGACTTATGATCAGACAGTTTCATGGGTGAGAGATATATGCATATTTATTTCTCCTTCAAGGTGAATTGTCTAATTATATCACATTCCTCTGTATATGCCTACGTTTTCTACAAATCCTTCCAAAACTTGGTACTTAAAACAATGGCCTGCTCTGCTTGATTTTTCAAGTGGGCTGAAGTTGTCTAACCTCGAGATGCATTAGTGCCACCTCAGGCCTTAGCTGGGGTAGAGCACTCAAGACTTCTTCACTCACAGGGCAGATGGATCCCTCAGATCACTGCTTGAAGAATAGCTAAGCTTCTGCATCTAGCTGAACTAACAAACTACTTTGGTAGTTCCATTGCCATGAGATAAAACAAAGATGTGTAACACAAATATTAAAAGGTCTTATTAATAAAAAACAAACAAACAAAAAAAAACTGAGAGCCAGGTATTGGGGTAAATTCTGAAAGATCAGAGAAGCAGAACAAGCCACAGCTAACCTCACCTTACCAACTTCTCAGCCGATCCTGTTTTCTCAAACTGGAAGCCTCTGAATCCTCATCCAAATGGATCTCAGCTGAACTGGTGCTACAAGCCTCAAAGCTTAAAAAGCCTAAAAGCCTCTATCTAGTTCTATGCCTTATATACCTTTCTGATTTCTGCCATCACTTCCTGGGATTAAAGGCGTGTGTCTTTCCCAAGCAAGACATGCGATCTCAAATGCTGGGATTAAAGGTGTGTGCCACCATGCCTGGCTGTTTCCATTGTGGCCTTGAACTCACTGGATCTCTGTCTCTGGAATGCTAGGATTAAAGGCATGTGGTACCACTGCCTAATCTCTATGTTTAATGTAGTGGCCGTTCTGTTATCTGACCCCCCAGATAAGTTTATTGGGGTGCACAATTTATCAACCACAAAGAAGATTCTACATTGCTTCCTGACTATGTGTGGAACTGGTACAGGATTGTTCTCCTGTATCTCATTGGTCAAGTCTGGGACAAGGCTGTCTATCATCACCTAGAAAAGAAATGCACCCCATTCCTTCCTGTAAAGCCCTTCCTTCAAGCCCTGTGTGGAGAGGACACTGACACCCATGATTACAGACAATCATCTCAATGTATTTTCTATCACTTCTAGGTATTTTGGCATAGAAAGTAATAAATATAAATGTTTTGGAAGCAAAATATGAGGAAATTAAAAAATCCAGGAATGACAAGGGTGGGGTGGACAACGGCATCTTCAACTTCCATTAACTGAAGTGTCTTGTCAATATAGTTTATTTAATTTGTTCTTTTGTTCCAGTTGTCTTTAATGTGGACATAGACAAAGCTTACTGAGTCTAATGAGGAAGGGTTCAACAGGACAGAGTGCCATGTGCACTGAGATGACTATATTCCAGTCCCTCTTCCCCATTTCCAAGTCATGTGAATTCAGAAGTCGACTCAGCAGTTATCTTTCTAGTGCCTCCTTTTTAAGTCGGGATCCCTGGGTGGTGCTTTCCTCCCAGGCTTGTGGAATAGACAAAATAAATTCTCTGAGGAAGATAGTTATTAAGCTTTTCTGCTCCAAGAAAGCTTAGGATAATTGTTCAGCAGGCTAAGTGTGGCTACGATGCATCGTGTAGCCGATTGCCTAACAATATTCTGCTTTGTGGAGAATCTTCGCCATGTCCTTGTGGATATAGGTGTTTGCATCAGATGGCCTCACAGTCATCTCATGAAATAAAAGTGATGAAAGTCATCCAATAGAGGCAGAGTTTGCTGACCCCTGATGGAGCAAATAGCTAAGCAGGAACAGGGCAGCTAACTAGTGGAGGAAGAGATTCACAGTGGGGCCTGGAAGGTTAAGAAACTAATCCGAGATGAGGGTTTGGAAGGATGATCAGGCAGAGGCCACAGGATGACCCAATCATTAGAGCCTAAATGGGGCCTTGATTCTTCATGTCCCTAGAGATTAGATTTAGGGTATTATTGAGAACTGGGACAACAGGAGAAAAAAAGGCAGACCCCCTGGATTTGTGCCATGTGCTAGAGAGAACTTTTATCTGAAAAGCACAGAAAGATGAAGGGAAGTACCTTGATCACATGAACCCAGTGATGTTCAAATTCACAGTGTTCTCGGCAATTAAACATTGGGTATGCTTTCTCTCTCCTCCAAGCATGTTGGTTCTTTACTAAATTTTACACAGACGCATATTTCCATGGTTCATATGGCTTAGATGCAGGTTCTGTAAGTACAGAACAGTGTCACATGGAATTTTGCAAGATAGGTTTCCATGGTTAGATCCTGTATAGCAAATTCCATGTGCATAACCTTTGTGTCCCTGCATTACCTGCCATAATACTTTTTACAGGGTAATTTGGGGCAATTGTTCTCTGAAGACGTGTGATTTATTCTCATCTTGGTTAGCTGAACATGTCCTTGAGCGGATTGTGACAAGCTCTGAGCTCGTGTTGGTTAGGAACAATCCTTCCCATGGGTATTCTAAAAGATCCCCGTGTGTCAGAGAAAGGACTGGTGCTTGATTAGGTGACAACTGTAATTGGATTAGATATTCTCACTGGCATGAGTGTAAGATACAAAGAGGGACATTTATGTGGGAAAGTGTGGAGTCCTGCTCCAGCCAGGTGCAGGTCCTGAAATGGGGACGGGGCATCATTGCTCAAAGAAGTCTGACCACCAGAAGAGTGTCACACAAGTGGCAGCCCCGAACATCTTGAGCCGTCTTCATTTATACTTCAAGAACAAACATGTTTTCCCCACACTCCGGTGCTCCAACAAATCTCCAACAAAAATTAACATGATTTTTCCAACTTTTAAATCAAAACAACTTTTAAACCAGAAACAACAATATTCTGCATTTTGCTAGCTTGGCTAAATACCAAGCCAGGCACACCCTGTCCTTACAAAGCTACAAGGTGATAGACATAGGCACACATTCTCAAGAACAATGATATCATCCAAAACTTAACAAAGAATATTTACAGAAATAGGGGATTTGCCATAAGTTGTTTTCATATAGACAGCTTGTATTTCTCTGACTCTTTGCTTGTCTTACAAGGGGGTCCTGCATGCCTAAGCCTCTCTATGAAGTGTGAAGTTTGATAAGGCACTCTTTTCCCATCATGCCACACTGTCCTTAAAGTTTTTTTTCCAG